GGCTGATTCCATACGTGGAAAAATGCCTGAGCTGACGCTTGATTTGGCAGAATACACCTTGCTTCCACTTAATCTTGGCGACAAAGATCACAAAGACATTGTTTTTGTTGGGAAAAACTCGGGTATGTTTGGACGAGATATCAAACACAAATTCAAGGGGAAAACCATGGTTGAAAGTGCGGATTGGTGGACTGCAATCAATGAACATATGAAACAGATGGGAACACGGACTTTGGTTGGAACACCCACTACACAGCACTCAAAACCAGCTTTTGCTGGTACTGCTCCTTTACCAAAAGAAGGTGCAGATGGATCGACTGGACTTTCTCAACGCGCTGCTGCATCTGTAGCTACTGCGAATGCTCCGTCGACGTCACTTCAAGCTCGATTGGGAGCCGTTGTAAGTCATAGCAAATCCGATACGATTCATGCTACTTCTGGTACACGACCAGTGAGTATGCCTGCACCACCTCTACCTGGTCGACCCAAAAGTACTATTGTACCTACATTGAGACCCAAATCTGGATCGCTTATTGACGAATCATTTGATGATTTGCCTAGTAGGAGAGATTCGTTATCACCTCCGATTTCTTTTACAACTACTTCAAATGATCAAATTCCTACACCTGCTCATGTAGCTGATTTTGCTTCATTTCCACCTCCCGACACGAATGACAAGACCGAGGTGGGCAATGTATCTGCTTTATCATTAAGTGAACAAATAGAAATGAAATTAAGCCATGCTACAAGTGGTGGTCATTCTCATGATGATCCTGTTGAACTGGACACGCCATCACCCAAAGCAAAACTAGCTAGTCTATCTACCGGAACTAGCAATCCATGGGACACATTTCAAGACGAATCGGGTGGTTGGTAATGTCGTATATGGAACTCGTCAATTCTCTACAAGGCTTATTGTGGCATCTGCCATGTTTATTCAACTATTAAAACCTTATTTACCAAGATAATTTGTTTTTTAAACTTGAAAGCTATCCAATGGAAATTAAAGGTAGAACATACAATAGCTCAATTATTTTATTGATTTGGAAAAAATAGCAATGATTGTTGTATTCGGTAGTATAGCAATACTCTCCAAAAAGTAGTAGCAACATAAAATACGGAATAGCAATATCAAAACAGGTGGTGAATATAAAAATGGTAGGGTACGGGAAACACTATTTTCGAGGAGGCAATGGAGGCTGTTGGCTAGATGTGCCAGTGGAAGTATTGGGCACAGAACTGGCAGCAGCAGCAATACCAACGGTTTCATAAACCTGACCCAAGATCCGCAAAGCATCAGCACGTCGTTTACGTAACTCGGTCGACACACCAGGTGCATCTCCGAGAGCATCGTCGCATACATCGCGTAGCACAGATTCAACTTCTAATTTGGATCCTCTCCACAAAGCTTCTAGTCCCTTTGTTGCCGCTTCATATTCCAGTTGCGTGCGGAGTTCTTGCTCCTGGGGTGTCAGTTTGACTTTGACATCCTCATCAACAGTCTTTTCACCCCCTTCACCTGTTTTTTTTGTTTTTTTATCCATTTCTTGAAGTTTGGTGAATTTGCTTTGCAGATCTAGAGCCGTACGAAACGTCCCGACCGTCTCGTTTAAAATGTGAGTTTTTTCTTTGATAGCTCCGCTTACTCGAGACCCAAGTCCCCATACTCGATGCCATAGCACAGCACCCCCATCCTCTGCAGCAATTTTGGCAATCCACTGATCAGCTTTTAAAACATAGGTGAATCCAATCGCTCTCAACAATTCGGGTCCATAGCTTTCCAAAGCAAGTTGTTGAGCTTCGATAGTAGATAAAGCACGAAACGTGTTGAGTGATTCGTTTGCCAAGCTATTCAAAGAGATCCCCAAAGGTGGAGAAGAAGTAGGATCAGGAAATGGAAACGTATCAGTGTAAAGCGAAAGCTTGGCAACAAGATTATGCGACAGTTTCTGAATACGTTCTTTACGAATCAAACGACGTTGTTCGTACATCAATGCCGAGTCTTGTTTGGCTTGAGTGGTAGCATCTGTAGATGGCACTTCTGTTCCCGAGTTGATGGTAGAAGAGTTGGAGTCAGTGGTCAAGTCATTAGATTTGGATGGATCTTTTGCAGCCATGACGTCTTTAAAATCCCGAGCAATGGATATTTCACCAATGATATCAACAAACATATCACCACCAAACTGTTGTCTAAAGAATTGTTCTGGATCGACAAACACAGATCCTTCAGAACCCACTGCAGCAGCCTTTCCATGAATATTATAAAATGAACGACGCTGTGGATCCGACAAGACTAACATTTAAACATTAGTATAGTTTTTCTGGATACACATTAACCATCAAGTCTGTACCTTGATAAGCTTCAGATATTTGTTTAAACATTTCTTCAGCCAATGGATTGTCCAAGTTTTTATCAGGATGACACTTTATAGCCTTGAGATAATACGCCTTTTTGATGACAGCACTAGACGCCGTAGCAGGAATCTCCAACAAATCATAATATTCCATATCGATTGGATGGTCATCTAAATCAATCATGAAATTAGAAGACAAGAATCATCCTTTTTCAAAGGTTTTACAATTACCTGAACCGGTTTTTCCAAGAGTAGTTTTTGGTCTGCGACTGGAAGCATTGTTGGTAGATTGGTCCGAGGCATTTGTAGTTTTTTTTAGCAGAAACAGATGGAGTCTGTTGAACAGCAGAAGTTGGAATAGAACAAGTCTCTACAAGAAAATCAAACCACTCTATAAACAGAAAAGGCATAAGCTGGAGTGACAGGAAGATAGAATTCAATGACTACAGAACAGTTTGGACACTTTGCAGTGACAGAAGGTTTTGGTCTCCTCGATTCAATAACAGGAATATGAGTTGAATCGCTCATGTTATCAACAACCAAATCTCAGCAAATGCAAAATGGAACACTTGTGTTGAAAATTTCCTTGATTTTGTTGGAATAAAAATAAATCGAATATTCTTGTTGAAAATTGACTTGATTGATATTGTTGGAATTGCAGGCGTACAAACTCATTTTTATTAGAATGTCAGCAAGAGTTGTTGCACAATACAAAACTGCATTTCGCGATATTATTGTTGAACGGTTTAAACCAGATTCAATAGTAAATGTGTCGTTTTGTTGATTCAAAAATGTATATTTCGTAAATGAAACTCATCTTCAATTGTCTGATTTACAAGTTGGTTTTGGAATACTTGAAATAGTACCGCAGTATGTATTGAACAGTGGAAAATGTAAAAAACAATAGTAGTATAGATAGGGCACTGAATGATACCACTTTTCTTGGTAGATGCTCTCTGCTAAAAGTTGTTCAAAGTGTCTGGAGTTGATCTCGCCTGTGACAGGTGATTTATGCTAAAATGCCATGGACAATCAATGTCAAATATAATGGTCAAGACTCGGTGCTTTATTCATACAAATAATTGTCTAATTCATTCCAACCCAAATGTACTATCTCAAGTACTTTCAACCAGACTAAGGAGCAAGTTTGTTTCTTCCATTCGAGCAACAGGGGAGCAATTTCGTGTAGAGAAGCCAAAGTCAATGATATATGGATTCCCAGATTCATCAATCAAGATATTCTCCTTTTTGATATCGTTATGTAGAATACCGGCCTCGTGAATGCTTTCGAGTGTTTCCAACAACTTCTGCTTTTGCTGTTCAGTGAATCCATTGGCCACCGTACCACAGATAGAAACACCTACACAGTACAGAACGTCCTCCACAAACCCATGACAAACGAATCTAGGTATGCCATTCCCTTGTAGCCCCGATAGCTGTTCATACACAGAAACCTCATTCAGCAATTCTGGAAGCATTTCTCCGTGCTTGGCAATATCAGCAACCTTGAGAGCAATACGGCTAGATCCATAGTAATCCAAATACACTTTGCTTCTTCCTTCACCAAGAACTGTATCGAATTTGAAATCATCAACATCAAAATCTTGGGGTTGCTCGTTGATTTGAATTCCAGACGACAAAGAACTGCATCCTCTGGAGAGACTAGCACGCGGAGATACCCTACTACTACTTGGTCGAGAGATTTGGGTAGCAGAACTAGCTCTAGACGGACGCTTTGATGCGGGGGGAGAATCCATATGATTGTGATTGACGATGCTGTTGAAATACGATAAGCATTGTTGAACAGTGGGTGTTCGAACAGTAAAGGAGATTCCCTCGGAAACATACAAAGTTTCATGAACTTGAGGTTCTTCACAAACGGCACATTCTTGATTTCGATAAACAAACCAGGTGTTTTCGTATGTCGACAGAATCCCATATTGCCTGTGGTTCAATCGCATATAGTGGTAGAGTTGGTCAAGAGCAGACGCACGTGTCCTTTCTGTGTTGTATGAATTGACGATATCACCAGTAGACAAAGCCCAATTGCCCTTTTCTTCAACAATAGCGACAATCTCTCCATTTCTAGTCATTAAATGATCTGGTTCCCCTACGCAGCTTGTGATTTGACGTCGTGCCTTGAATTCAGAAGGAGGAATGAAACACTTGGCAGAGATATTGAGCAAATTGTCGAGAATGAAGGGTTGAAGACTTTGAACTTCTTCGGTGATAACTCTGGGAACAAACACAGGTTTTTGTACTCTTTGAGAATGCTGATGATGATTAGCACCAATCCAATCAACAACGCTTTGCTTAAAATCAGACCACAGGAAAACATGTGTCGGCTTCTTCCAAATTCTGCCAGAGGTGTTGGGTCTTGACACAGGATTGTCATACACCGGTTCAGGAAGAGAACAAATCATATGCTCGTCCATAGTGATAGTATCTCTTAGAGAGCGAATAATCAGTGGATGGTCGTAGGAACCATTTGTTCCGAGAGCAGCAATGGGGTCCCAGGAGTTGTAGTTGGTCTCCACTCCATTCAACACATAATGAATGGTGATATCACCAACAAAGGTAGAAGCAAGGAGGGGAATGGCAGCAGTCTTGTAAGCAGCAACCAGGCCACCAACGTCAGTCAGTGGTCTTCTTCTCTCTAGTTCTCCATTGAAGTGGGTTTCGATTTTCACTGGCTGGTAGTCCAGATATTTAATGTAGAATGCTTTGTTTTCCATTGGAGTTTACTGGAGAGAAATGAAAGAATTGAATGGAATAGAATAAGAATGGAATGAAATGAAAAAAAGAAAAGAAAAAATTGGACTTTAAATCCAAAATCTAATGTCATGTGAATAATGTGAGACAAATTCACACATTTTGAATAGTGTTTAAACATTTGTCATGTGTTTATTTGTATTGTTCAATCGAGTGTCAATTCAACTCAATTGATTACGTCATTCATATAATGACTCGAGTCTCTTATTCAACATTTTAATATTCAATGTTTAAATCAGTCAATTGTTGGATTAGTAAATATGTTACAAAACATTCATTTACATGCTGAATCTGACAAGTGGATAATGATTGTTCCAATCAACAATTGGATTGGATTGATTGCAATATTGTCATTGATCTCAGTCACTGTTGACCAATACATTGTAATATATTGACAGTCTCGGTATCAACATTGTAATTCATGTCAAGTTGTGCGTAGTTGCTAATATTACACCACAACAATAATGTGTCAACTTTCAATTCCTGTGATACACCGTTTCAACTATGACCGGATCGAGGTTGATCACTTGTCAATACACGGGTCAGTTGTATAATCGTACAACTGTTGGTTAACCAATGTTTGACTGTCGATATTTGAATCATGAATATTGTCCAACATAATTGCCACTAACATTGTCGTTTGATTGCCTTGTTCTATGAATAATCATTGCAATGTCATTTGTTCAGTTGTTGTTGGTTTATTGAAACCATGTCACAATTCTTGCTATCTTGCACATGATCTTGTAATTGTTGGTGTTGTCTGTAGTGATTCTGTCAATGTATACAAATGTCACTTGTTGCTAATTGGTAGTTGTTTATGACTGATACACAACCGATCAGGTTTGGTGACCATTTTATGCACATATATTTGACATTATATTGGACTGTTATGTTGTTTGATCCAATAGTAGTATATGTCAGTCATACTATAATACTACAGGTTTGTTGCAATATCCATACAACCTATATCCAAAACTGCACAAACACTGTCATTCAAGATTGATGAGTATGCAATCACAAATGAATCCAACGCATTTTTGCTGTATATAGTTGTATTGAGTGTCGTGTCTGTTGACTTGACTGTTGACTTGACTAGATCTGATATTACACGGGCTATTCAACAATTGTATTGAATTCCGGTTAGTATCGAATTGTTTGAGTCGTTCGAGTAGTCAAGTTGCTTGGTTTGCAATGTGTTGTGTCCAGGAATCACTTGCAATCAAACCATCACCAAACCACAAGTTAACAACACCAAATGATATATGACTGGTTATAACAACACATTGCAAACACTCGACGAATTAGCCATGAATCAGGTTCAATCATCAATCGCCAATATTGTCAAGCGTGTATTCCTGGTTTAGTTGATGATGATCCGAGTATGCGGTATTCGTCACAGTCTGATTTGGTCCAAACAGGTTTTGTAATGGTTTCAACAATGTCTGATGAATGACATGCTACAATCGCAGTATATTGATATTACCGCATGATACAACTGTTTGGTTGACCAACCGACTCGAATGTTGATGGATTATTATGCCAATCGACTGTTTTGACCTGATATCACCACACTTGACATGCCAACACATGCGACATATGATGGAGTGATGGAAATACTCGAAATACACACAATACAACTCTTGCAGCAGTGTATGAAACTATCAAGCATGACATGACATGCCATGCCATGAAGGGTGTAGATTAGACTTGATAACAATGTGTACAATTTGGACTTTTAAATTCGGAAATAGCAGCTCTGTTCCAACATCCCATTGATTGTAAATGTCGAGGTTGTTTAACCTTGTACAAATGACCATTTCACATGCAACTTTAGCCTGATATCGAGTATTTTCAAATGAATGCAAGCTTGCGACACTCGCTTGACTCGTTTGGTTCGGGTTATGGTTGATATTTACGATATCGATGCAAAGTTGCATTCCAGAATGAACCTGTATAATCTGATGTGGTCAATCGTTTGGTTTTATTGTTATCGGTCATTGACACCAGTTATTGTGTTGATTGCAAATAGTAGTCCAACTAATCATGCATAAACAAACACCAGATAGTCACTGATAAACTGATAGTATCCAATGTATACATGACACATTGTATAGTTCCATTTAATTGCCAGCAATGTGTGATTGGATTACTCGAGTCATCAAGCAATTATCAAGCAGTTTTCAAACAGTTGTCAAACAGTTGTCAAGAACAATCAAGTCATGTCCAATAAACTGTCTGATGTGCAGGTGTTTTGGCATTGGTCCGTTGGTCCATTAGTACGATTGTTGGTTGGCAATTCGGACTTGTAAATGACAATTGATTCTTGATTGTTGCATTGGTGTCCATATGTGTCCATATGTGACTCATTGTATACGGAACAGGACTGACAAGTGTGTCTGAATTGATGCCAGATGATACAGCCTATCCAACAAAAAGTAATGCATTGATCGTGTTTGTATGGTAATAAGCTTTATAACTTCCACTTCTGAATGTATGCGAATCAACATTCAAACAACGGATACGTCCAATGAGTCTTGCAAATGTATTTATAGAGTGTTGTTGAGTAATTCGAGTGTTTACAAATCAGCATCACTGGAAATAGTTACTGTTATTCAGACAGTCACTTGTCCAGACATTACAGTTGTAATATTACACATTTTTCATTGTTGCTGGATACCAATATGCCTACATTTAAAGATGAATGCTACCAACAAAATATTTCATTAGAACTGCAACTGTTGCTTCAAGATCATGGACATATCGTTGTAAATCGTTTCAAACATCAGTTCATTACCCCATTTTAAACCAATCCATCAATCTCTGATTCGGCTCGCTTAATACTCTCCAGCAGCTTGCATTCCATTCCTACAACGACTTGTTCATCGTATCCATGTTTACAGCGTTTGTTGTTTTGACTGCGATTTGCATCAACCCAGAACAATGGAATTTACCATTTCCTTTGTAGAATCTGTCCATAATGTCTGTTTTAATGTAATCTTTTGACTGTTTTTGGATACAAAAGTCGACAACCATTGCTTTATCATCGACTTGACCGCAGTTTGATGAGTTGACAACACAATCGCATATACACAGGATACGAAATATCAAATCCAATTGAAGTTGGGTATTGTTTGCTGTATCCTTGTCAACTCGGACAATAGCACCACATGGCAATACTTGATAGCAATGTAGACTGTTTTGGTGCTGTGAGATGCAATGATACAACGAGTTTCAGGACCCATTCCAATATGATGCAGCATATTGCAGACGAGCAGTTCATTTGTATCTGGTTGCCTGATACCTTTTACATTGTATTTTGTGGGTCTGTACTGACAAGTCTTGATGTAGCAACAAACAGTCAGTTGTTGTTGACATTCCAAGCGAATCTGGTCTGGATTCCGTTTTTCTTTGGAGATAATGAGATGTCAAACAACTTGTCAATGTCAGCCTTGCAGTGTTGAATGACAGTATTGATTGACAGCAGTTTGAATCGGTTCCGTATTTCCATCCAGATACTGTGATATTGGCAAGAAGGATCTTGCAAAGTTGTTGGTTGTTGATGAGCAAGTTGGATATAAAGTTGTTTTCAATCAATCCGTTGGCAATCATGATAGCATACTTTGATTTGTATGTATGCAATACTGTTGTCATCTTGTGTATGATGTTTTCTATTTCCACAAACGCATTCCATTTCCAGCTGTTTTTTGCAGACACCCTCATTGTGTAGCAATGAGGAAGATGGAAAGTGCAAAACTAAAACAGTTTAAATAAAAAAGTACATTTATTCCAATGGGTTTACCACAGATTCTCATTCAAGTAAAACGGTATCATTCGCTGCTTTTTATATACTGAATGTGTGGTTCGGAATCCAGTTTTGCATTGCCAAAACGGTTATAATTTTTGATACTTTCGGTGGTTGTATCATAAATGTGAGGTTGAGTTGGTTTCAGTACCAAAGGTGTTTCTCTAACATTCAATGGTTGTTTTCTCTCGAGCGGCTTATCTTGATTCGTTGGGAATCTATACTCGCTACGGACTTTTGCATCAAGATGCGAGTCTAAACGATCCATGTTTTTATCAGACAGACTATACTTTGGTATGGGGTTGACGTATGTATCTTGAAACGATGCCTCTTTATGCAAGACTGCTGATTTAAATGATTTAGGTTTGCGACGGAAATCAATTCCAAGAAAATACTCGTGATGGACTGGGCTCGAGTTGTCATGAAATGCATCTTGATCCGTTTCATCGTGAATCTACAGATTCAAGTTTATATTTACAGGATACGTGTTTAGTATCAATAAAGATGTAGTCTAGTAAAGCAATTTTGAGTGAATGTTGGACATTGAAACTGCTTATAAACAACATGTGTTTTTGATAGTTTATGCCAGTCTGTATCATAGCATTGAACACCTTACACTTTCCCAATGATGATGTTGTCGAAGCGTGTTAGAACGTTCGCGCCATTGAGAGATGGTAACGAGTAGAGTGACAAGACACACCATGACAACAAATCCACCCAAGCCGGAAATAGAGCTGGGTTTGCAGAGGTTTCTGTTGCATGGAGAAGACCTTAGAGCGCTACCGCGCCTTAGATAAAGTTTTGGAAATCGTATATTTGGATGTGGCATGTCAATAACTAGTTTTCAAAAGAGAATAAAGTGGTCTTATTATACTCGAACGTATTCCAAAAGGATATAAAAAGCGAGATAACATAATATGCTCAGCAAATGTACACAAGAAATGATGTTTGGATCAACCCGACTTGTTCTCGTGGTGACTTGTTCATACACGTCGGTCCAATCTGAACCAAAGCGAATTTGAAAGGAACTCCGCGTTTGGATTTATGGGTAGATGTCGAAATTCAATCATGACATTCATGACCTTAGATCAGCCTTTTTAAAGTAGTAAAAACAAGAGTAACATTAGAGACAAGCCTTCTGATACGCTTTTGACACAGTTGATTGAAAGATGAAACAAGTGCTTTGAGAGGAGTAAGCGACACAATATTGAGGATGTTTGAGAACAGCGTGTGATATAGAGACCAGACTGTAGACACAGACAAAAGAAGAGGAATAGACCCCAAAGACCAGAGGTGGAGAATTGTGATTGGTTGTAAAACGCAAAGATAGAGTTCAAACCCCAATATTTAGGGTCTGACAAGGAATAAGTGCAAGTTTGAGTTTGCGTTGACAACTCAACCCATTCATCATGGCATCCGTAGACAAGTTTGTGGACAAGGCGGAAGCCCTGCTTGACAAGGCTCTTGGACCACTCAAGCCATTCCTTCCAGCAATTGCTCGATTCCTTCTTGTTGTGACTTTCCTGGAAGACGCTATACGCATCATGTAAGATTGTGGAACTGTCAGTCGGCTGTCATGAACATTCTCAAGAAAGATTGTCTTGTTTTATGTATTTTTACTACAGACAAGAGTGGAAAGTGCGTTGGACTGAGAATCTGTTTAACAGTCTATGACTGGTTGGTGGTGTCCTGCACTGTTGCTCTATTGACTTCTCCCTTGTGAACAGATTCTTAGTCTTCTAAACTCTTCAATCCATTACTAACATTCGTATACTTGAATTCTCGCTTAATTATCGGTACTCTGTTGGATATTCATGGCTCTTGCTTGTAATCGGCATTGAAACAATCGCATTCAAATCCCTCATTAGCACCCAATGGTCTGATCAGACATATTATCTGACTCGTCATCGAGGCAAGTGTCTTGTATTTGATTCTTGAACTTGCATTCAATAGTTTGTGTCTTGTATAGAACCTTTTTTAGTCCAATGTTGCTATCCTGATTGTCAGCGTTTGAATTCGCGACGCTGTTATAGTTTACCAACATTATCTCTAGTACTGCCACTTCACATTGGTTGCTGTACGATTAGGATTAGTGTTGATAGATTGATGCATTCAGCTTCGATTGGGATTCCTGACATTTGTATATTCATTTGGAATCTCACACTCTGTCATGTCACAATTCTCTGATGCATCATGGTACTCGTTTTTTAAATTTCTTGCTAATTTTGTCTGAATATTTAGGATTCAATCATTATCTCGCATTGATGTTTCTTGCAACCAACGTATCTGTCATGTTGGTTGGATCTGTACTGGCCATATGCAAAAAATTTACAGAAATTGCCGTTGGTGGTCTTTTTGCTATTATTATTTCGCAATCTATCGGCTATGGTCTCATTTTTGACTCCAATTTCTTTTTCCGTAACCTTTCAGTTACCGGAGGTCTTCTCATGCTTGTTGCTGATGCGATGGCCTCAAAGCGCAAACCCATCTTTGCTGGCTTACCTTCCCTTAACCAAGTTGATAAAAACGCTTACCTTCAACTTTTTGGTCGTATTCTGTTGGTTTTTCTCTTTCTCACCTTTATCATGACTGGCGAGTTTTCGATTCTTCGACTTGTCATTTCTATTATTGCACTCATTGGATGCATCATGGTTGTCGTTGGTTACAAGGCAAAAGTCACCGCGTGGTTGCTGGTTGCCTTTTTGTGCATTTCGAATGTTGTGCTCAACAATTGGTGGTCGTTGCATCACAATCATCCACGAAAGTATGTTGTCTTGTTCATGTCTGTTTAGATCTACACTGCGTACTAACGTCTTTTGTTTGATAGAGATTTTCTCAAGTACGATTTTTTTCAAACACTTTCCATTGTGGGTGGGTTCCTGTTGCTGGCCAACCAGGGTGCAGGTGGATACTCTATGGACGAGAAGAAGAAGAATTTTTAAATCAATTTAAACACTATTTTTTTGTTCAATTCAACATGAGTTGGAAGGCTAGTTTTAGATGTAGAGTCGTGTAATTCATTGAAATTGTAACTGATTGCAAGAGCAATGCAGAGCAATGCAGACAGAGTGCACTTGTGTAATGCAACCCTGCAAACATTCAAACCTTTCCAAAAAGTATCGAGTGATTTACATTCCAAAACTCGATTCTACTCAAGTTAGCGCGTCACCTTCCGAAGCTTATTTGCCTGAACACAGTCCTTGCAAAACCAAACGCCATTAGGCGGTTCAGACAATCCAACGCATTCCAGATGAAACCACTCATGTGGACAATCCTATTTAAACATAATTTGAATGAGCAGTGCATTTAAATAGTTGATGCATTTAGTAAATTGTACATTCAACTCACCTCGTTATCGCATGCAATCATCTCGCCATACGAGACTTGCTGACAAAAACAGTAGAGTTGTTCATCCATTTCAGGGGTTTCTGATCTTGCCAAATCAGTACTAAATAAGCTGGGACCCTCACTATCATTATACCAAAAACCAGTTGATCATAGATTCAACCAACAGTATACAATTGAAACAAGATCAGGACTTACATTTTACGTTTTTGAGTTCGCTTATGAAGTGGAGGTCGACTGCTTGTACCTATTTTTCGATCTAAAGCATATACACAAGCAACCGAATTTTGATTTGTAGATTGAAATAACACATTGTATTGCAATCCATTACCTACCTAATTGATGTTGGAATGGATCACTACCGAATGAAAGTTCCCGTTTGATTCGTTGGACTTGTTCATTTGCAGCAACAGCTCCATTTAAAGTGTTGGTCGTTACGGGAGTACTCAAAAAATTGGCAGGGATTCGAATAGAAGTAGAAGACAATGACGGGACAAGAGTTGGTGTAGGTGTGGTGGCGTGCAATACATTAGAGTATGAAGATGCAGCTGATGCGATTGCAGCCGAAGCAGTCATCAACACGGATGAGGCAATTGGAGTTGATACAGTGTGCATAGAATTACCCACGCCAAGTGCCATGGCATCAGATTCTTCCAATTTCTCCAATTCCATATTTAATCGTCGTTCATGTCTATTCAACTAAACAAAAACCACACGTCCAAATTAAACTTTAAATCATACAGATTCAACACAACGCATGAACAAACCATTTCACGCATCTGTTGAGCCATTTCGATTTTCTGATCAGCAAGGAGTTTGGCTTGTGCAAAACTTTTTTGAATGTTTTCATACAAGAACAATTGATCAGGAATTCCAACAAGTTGCAGTCGAGTATCATTTTGATATTTTTGTAATAGATCCAATTCAGTATGTTCTGAAAGTTTAGTTTCTTCTACAATGGGTTGAGATAGTGGTGATTGATCTTTAGATTGTTTAAGTTGCATGGGAGTTTTTGGGACTGCAAAAACATGCGTATCAGTAGTTGTGACGGATGAAGTAGGAGGATTACACACTGTTGCAGTAACATTCTGTAGACTTGAAGACACAGCAACCGAATCTAAAAGTGCTAAAGTACTTGGAATTGAACCTGCGACAGCAGGTATACTTTCTGTAGTTGGAATAGGTTTTGATGATCCACCGTATGAATCCAACGGACCAGTTTTGATGAGTTTACGCAACGCACTTTCATCATGATGAATTTGGTCTTTCAATGCTATTCAAAATATAAAGACTAGTTGAGTCCTTTACAAACTGACTGATGAATATTGGTCCATTTTGAATCCAGCAGTCAATGCTAATCCTGTTACTACACTTTAAATCTATTCATACCATGAAACTCGGCATCTTTGGCAGAAAGCTCACTAAGAATAAACTGGATTTCAGACGGTACATTTTCAATTGCTAAAACAAGATGTCAGAGTGATAGTTAGATGAAACTTGTTTAATAGAATTTCATATTGATGAAGGTCGTAAAACACTTTACTCGGAACATAATCTTCTAGAATTTGACTGCAGTCTAACACTCCCATAAAGAATAAAGTATTTGAAATTTGATTCAAGTTGAAGAATTATTAATAGAATTATTAATAATTACAAGTTTATCCTCAAATTTAAAACTATTCGACAAACATGAAGTGTGTTGTATTGCTTTTATCCTATTCATAAATGTTGTTCTGGTTTGACTGATCGATATTTAGGTTTACTCTGGATGATCTTCCTATAATATTTCCTTACGAGTACATTTATCCTGAACAGTATGCTTACATGAAGGATATGAAACGAGCCTTGGATGCACAGGTATGCATGCCAATCCTCTTGCACATCAACATCTAATCTAAATCATTCATCTGGTAAAAAAGGGTCATTGCTTGCTGGAAATGCCTTCGGGAACAGGCAAGACTATTTCCTTGCTCTCTCTCATCGTCGCTTACCAGCAATTCTATCCAGAAAAACGAAAACTCATCTACTGTTCTCGGACTGTTCCTGAAATCGAAAAGGCTTTGGCTGAATTAAGTCGTCTTATGAAATATCGTGAAGAGCAGGGTTTGGTCGAAAACTTTCTTGGTTTGGGATTGACCTCTCGTAGGAATCTGTGTATTCATCCCATAGTATGTATCAATCCATGGCTTGGATCTATACAAAATACTCGATTGCGTTTCCTGTTCTAATGTCAAGATTTAGGTATCGAAAGAAAAAAGAGGTACTGTTACTGATGCTAAATGTCGCAATCTGACTTCTCCGTGGGTTCGTGAAAATGCAAAACATGAACCTGATATTGAGTTGTGCGAGTTTTACGAGGTATGCAATCAGATTAGATCTGCTATGCGTTTTTAAATTTCTGTTCTCATTCTGCTCTACTAGACACTTGAAGCAGCTGATACAACGGCTACTGTTCCGTCAGGTGTTTATACACTTGAAGATCTTAAAGAATATTCGACAAAAAAGAAATACTGTCCTTATTTTCTTGCTCGTCGGCTTGTAAGTAAAGTGATTGATTTTTTATTGTCATGTACAACATACAATCATTTCAAACTAGAGGCATGATTGTTGTAGTATGGATCTTGATCAATTGACGTGTATGCTAGCTTCCATTTGCCAATGTAATCATTTATAGTTACCATTACTTGCTGGATCCAAAAGTTGCCGACATGGTTTCAAAAGAACTAAGCCGGGATTGCATTGTTGTATTTGATGAAGCGCACAATATTGGTATTGCAGTATTGATGTTTTATGCTTGACAAATTGTGACTGGATTCTGATTTATACATGTTTGCTTTTAGACAACGTTTGTACCGAATCTCTTAGTATTGATATATCAAAACCCATGCTAGATGCAAGTGCACGTAGTGTTGCTGAACTTTCTCGACGAATTGAAAGGTATGTTTATACAAAAGCATGTGTTGAATACATTGTATTTCATCTATACTAATTTTACAATATTTTGGATGAGTGTAGCATGAAGGTGTCCAATTCTGAAAAACTACAAAACGAATATACAAGTCTTGTACAAGGCAAGTTTATTTTGAATCTTTAATACAAGAGTTGAAATGGCTAATAACATGTGTTTTAAAATTAGGATTACGACAAGCTCAAGAATCTAGAGATGCTGGAGAAATCATGACCAATCCCGTTCTTCCAGATGATATTCTTCAAGAGTCTGTACCAGGAAATATTCGACGGGCTGAACACTTTGTTGCTTTTTTAAGACGATTTATTGAGTATCTAAAGGTGTGTTGTATGACGATTTGATTTACAAGAGTGATAGAATTGTATTCATTTATGTACATGCCAACCATTTGATTGGTTTGATAGACTCGCATGAGAGTGATGCATGTGGTTGCCGAATCACCATTGTCCTTTCTTCAACATGTCAAGGAGATTACATTTATTGACAAGAAACCACTTAGGTATGTTCCCAAAGAGTCTAGATCAGTATGTAACGCGCTGCTTAAACCACTCATTGTTTGAATACTGTGTGCATAATTGAACACAACAGATTCAGTGCAGAGCGACTTGGATCATTGATCAAAACTCTAGAGATCAATGACTTGACTGATTACAGCGCGCTTCAAAAGGTGGCCTCTTTTGCTACTCTTGTTGCAACGTATCAAAAAGGTAGTTATTCCAGCTTAGCATACTGTTTTCAAGACCATGACCATGACGTTTCATGTGTATGATTAGGGTTTGTGTTGATTCTTGAGCCATTTGAAAACGACATGGATACGATTCCCAACCCAGTGTTGCATTTCACGTAAGTTGTGATGAATCCATTTATTTTATGAGTGATATGTTTCTAAACAAGTATTTTGGGATCAATTAAAACGTGCATAGGTGTCTTGATGCAACACTGGCCATTAAACCAGTATTTGATCGATTCAGTTCTGTCATTATCACATCCGGCACACTATCACCAATGGAGTTGTATCCAATGCTTCTTGGGTTTGAGCCTGTTGTGACAGAAAGTTATCAAATGACCCTGACAAGAACATGTTTTCTTCCATTAGTAAGTGTATTTAATATGTAGCAATATTTTCAAGATCTGGTAGACTAATACAGTGATGGTTAGATAGTAACACGAGGTAGTGACCAGGTGACAGTGTCATCCAAATTTGAAGTGCGTAACGATGTAGCTGTAGTGAGAAACTATGGCAATATTCTGTTAGAGTTTGCGAAAATCACACCAGATGGACTTGTATGTTTCTTTCCGAGTTACTTGTATATGGAATCGATTGTAGCAGCATGGAATGATTTAGGAATGCTACGAGAGTTGTTGAAACTCAAGCTTATTTTTATCGAGACACCCGATGCAACAGAGACTAGTATTGCTTTGGAGAATTATCGACAGGTGAGATTGAGACTGTTTATTTGAGTGAATGGGATGCTGATTCATGTTTGCATTGAATGATTCATACCAAGGCATGCGATAATGGACGAGGTGCTGTGCTGTTGTCAGTTGCACGAGGCAAAGTGTCTGAAGGAGTAGATTTTGATCACAACTATGGTCGAGCAGTGATTCTATTTGGAATTCCATATCAAGTAAGTTGAATGTTTATTTTTTAGGGATTCAATGTACCAACACAATGATTTTAGTACACCGAATCTAGGATTTTGAAAGCACGATTAGAATACCTTCGAGATAATAGTCGAATTCGAGAGAATGATTTTCTTACGTTTGATGCGATGCGACATGGAGCACAATGTGTTGGACGAGTTCTTCGAGGGAAAACAGATTATGGATTGATGGTATTTGCAGACAAACGATTTGGACGAATGGACAAGAGAAGTAAATTACCCAAATGGATCTTGTCAGGAATGACGGAAGCAGGAATGAATTTATCGACAGACATGGCAGTATCGATGGCTAAAAAGTTTTTAAGAACCATGGCTCAACCATTAGAAGGAAACTCGATGGGAGTGTCACTCTGGGATGCAAAAGAAGTGACGAGAAGAGAGCGAGTAGCGCGAACGAGTGTTTCAGAACAAGGCAATGCGATGCAAGTGGATTGAAATGCAATAAAATCAACATTTCACTTGACTTGTTAATCATTGTTTCTATGAAGGATTCTGTTGATAAAAGAGGACGTTCTGTTGGTAAAAGAGAAGAATTGATGAGTAAAAGAAACCAATCTGTTGATAGCAGAGAGCAATCTGTTGATAACAAACACTCTATTCCCAACAGAGAACACTCCATTCCCAGCAGAGAGCAATCTGTTGGTCGTAAAGATTATTCCATTCACAACAGAGAACACTCCATTCACAGCAGAGACTATTCTATTCACAACAGAGAACATTCCATTCCTAATAGAAACTACTCTTCTATTCATAACAGACAATCTCCATCAAGAAGCAGGTCGCCTATTAAACTCAACCCTCTTGCACAGTCTGATGAGGCTCTGGAAGACTCTCTAGCATTGATTGCTTTTCAAGACTTGTCTCAAACAGAACCTATTCATACCCATCATACAGATATGACTCATGTTATGCTGGAAGTAGTGGGAATGACTTGTCAGTCTTGTGTCAAGGCCATCAACACTGCCTTGTCTGTTCTGCCTGGTATTCACTCTTACTCTGTGTCATTGGAAACTAACTCGGCCTCTGTCTACTACGATCAAGGGTTGGTCTCTTCAAATGATATCATCGAAGCTATCGATGAGTGTGGCTTTGCAGTAGCCCTGAATTCTGAATTGGCTTGTATGCCAAATACTATCCAAAAGCACTCGCAAGTCTGTTTGTCCATTCGAGGCATGACTTGCGAATCGTGTGTCAATTCCATCACAAATATCTTGATCACCATGTCGGGTGTGTTGTCTGTCTTGGTGTCTTTATCTTCCGAATCGGCTGTCATCAAATTTGATCCCGTTTTGGCTTCGCATCACGAATTTGTCACTGCCATCGAAGATGCTGGTTTCGATGCTTCCGTCGTTACAATCTCTCATGATATAAATGACTCGTCTTTCGACTCGTCTTTTGATCATACTTCAAATCCTAAACCATCTGTTTATAACCCTAAACCATCATCTGCCATCACTCTCGTGGGTGCTTTGGCTTCTACAACTCCCCTTTTGACTTCATCTGATGTATACAATTCTCCCCCTACTCCTGCTTGTACAAAAACTACCATCATCGAGGTACAGGGTATGACCTGTGCAAGCTGTGTTGCCTCTATAGAACGCCATCTTCAATCCCAACTCGGTATCGTGTCTTGCAAAGTCGCTCTTTCGTTGGAACGTGCCGAAGTCGAATTCGATCCCTCTGTCTTGAGTGAACAAAACATCTCTGAAATGATCAACGATATTGGATTCGAAGCTCGTACGCTTGTCTTGTCTGATATCGGTACTGTTGATTTGGGTATTCTAGGCATGACGTGTGGTAGTTGCTCTGGAAAAATTGAAAGAGAAGTGTCAAAACTTGCTGGAATGTCTAAAGTCTCCATCAATCTGTTGGGTCAGTCTGGAAAATTCGAATACAAAAAGAATCTGATTGGCGTACGGGATATTGTTGACAAAATTGAAGCTCTTGGGTTTCATGCTGTTATTGCCGAGGCTGGATCTCATTTACAAGTAGAATCTCTTTCTAGAACTCGTGAAATTCGTAAATGGCGAAAGGCTTTTTGGACATCATTCTACCTTGCTATTCCCGTTTCGTTTACTTCCATGATCCTTCCTATGCTCATACCTGATATCATCGACATTGATGTTATTTTTCCTGGTCTGAAGCTTGGTGATTTGATCATGATGCTATTTACAATTCCTATCCAATTTGGAACGGGTCAACAGTTTTACAGGGCTTCGTACAAGGCCTTGAAGCATAACAGCTACACCATGGATGTGCTGGTGACTCTTGGCACAACCCTTGCATTCGCATTTTCAATCCTTTCCATGCTCAATACTATTGTTCGAGGCGGTACTCCTCGTGCACAGGTGTTTTTTGAAACATCATCTACGCTTATAACATTTGTTATGCTGGGTCGGTATCTTGAAAACATGGCCAAAGCAAAAACGGGTAGTGCACTATCTAAACTCATGTCGCTTGCTCCATCTAAAGCAACATTACTGGAAACAAACAAAACTACGGGTGTGCTGTCCGAGCGAGAGCTGCCTAGTGATTTGATCAAGGTTGGAGACTTGCTAAAAATTGTTCCTGGTGATCGTATTCCTGCTGATGGAACAGTCGAGTTTGGTGTGACTGAAATTGACGAATCGCTCATCACGGGTGAACCTGTTCCAGTCACCAAATATGTCAAGGATAAAGTCATTACTGGAACCGTAAATGGATCGGGTATGGTTTACATTCGCGCTGACCGTGTCGGTAACGATACAACTCTTTCCCAAATTGTAAAGCTTGTTAGTGATGCTCAAACATCCAAAGCTCCAATTCAAAACATTGCCGACAAGATTGCTGGCATCTTTGTTCCCACTGTCATTTTTCTTGGTGCTGCCACATTTATCATGTGGATATGTATTATTCAAGCGACACAATGGATCCCTGCGAGTTTTCCTGCCGACAGTCATTGGTTGTTTGTATGCTTGAGCATGTGCATTTCTGTGATTGTTGTTGCTTGTCCATGCGCTTTGGGTCTTGCTACACCCACTGCAGTGATGGTAGGAACGGGTGTGGGTGCAAAACTGGGTATTTTAATCAAGGGCGGCGGTCCACTTGAAATGGCTCACAAGATTTCAAAAATTGTATTCGACAAAACAGGCACATTGACCAAAGGAAAAATGAGTCTTGTTGAAATGTGTGTGTATCCTATTCCAGATATTCCCAAATTAACCGAGAAAATGCTACTGGGAATGGTGGGTGCTGCTGAAAACAATTCTGAGCATCCACTAGGAAAAAGCATTGCTATCCATGCCCGACAACGATTGATGCTACCCCAGCATGCGGCATTTTCAGAAACAATTTCCGACTTTCATGCTGTACCTGGATCTGGCATTTCTTGTCATGTATCCAATACTGCTTTCTCAAAAACCGAGTCTTATGTCCTTCAAATTGGATCTCACCAGTATCTATCCAAGCAACATCACATACAGTTCACTGATGTACACATGGCAACCAAAGTAAAACACGAAAAACAAGGACGGACTGTTATCTTTGCAGCAGTGAATGGTCATCTAGCTGGCCTGTTTGCTTTAGCAGACATACTCAAGTCTGAATCATTGTTGGTTGTACGAGCTCTTCAGCGCATGAAGGTTCAGGTGGCCATGGTTACAGGAGATCAAGAATATACTGCTCACGCTATTGCTAAACAATGTGGCATTACAGAAGTGCACTTTGGGACTTCTCCACAAGGTAAAAAGCGACTGATTGAAGCCATGCAAAACGAGGGACATATTGTAGCCATGGTAGGCGATGGGATCAATGATTCTGCCTCGCTGGCACAATCTGATATGGGCATTGCAGTCTATGGTGGAACGGATGTAGCGGTTGAAGCTGCCAGTGTAGTTCTTATGAGACCGGATTTGACTGATGTCGTGACTGCAATGGATTTATCACGAACGATTTTCAGACGAATTTGGATTAATTTTATATGGGCTAGTGTATATAACATGTGTATGATTCCTCTTGCAATGGGAATAGGCACACCTTGGGGCATCACACTCCCAGCCATGGTATCTGGGTTGGCAATGTCAATGAGCTCTGTCTCGGTTGTCGTGTCATCGTTACTTTTACGAAACTATCAACGTCCACTGATAGGACATGATGGATCGGTGATTGGCACCGAACGACGCGTTGACTCGGACTCTATTCTAGCTGATGCGTTCAACGAAGAGATTGAATCCAATGATACAAAGCAATCCTATTCTCGTGTCGGGTTACCATACTCTCATAGCTCGGATGATAAAAACAATGGATTTGTATCTCCTACACATCGTATGTCGGATACAGAACTACTTGCTGAAAGCGGCGGGTACGATCTATCCATGAATTCATCTACTCCTGACGAGAATCACACACCATTTAAAAACAAGGGTGTGTTGACATCACTTCACACGGCTGTTTCTAAAGCATTTGGATCTGCTTGGACGTACACACCTGTGAGCGAAGATGCAGCATTTCCTATGCATGCACTTTAATGTTATTCTGATATCAAATATATTTCAATCTATACTTTTAGTTTTTATCCCAAATACATCACGTGATTAAAACATTGAATTTTTTCTTCAACTCGAATTTAGAAATTCTTTCAGATTTGAAATTTGATTAACGAGCGGTGAATAAAGTGTTTGAACATCACATATGGCTCGTAAAGGAAGAGGAAAAAGAGGGAAAACAGGTTCTGCCTCGAATGGCAGTGACATTCCATCCTACACTGAAACGTCTATTGCAGACATTGAAACCCTAGAAAACAACTCTGAAGACGAATGTAAGCCCAACCTCATTGCCTTTTCCAACACTATCATACCTTCCGACTCACACATTTTATTCTAGTTTACAAACAACGAGAAACGGTTGACATTAGCGTTTATAGCAATCGCATCCAACAAGGTAAATGGTATCCACTGTAATATATGAATACTGTTGACTTAATTTTTTTATGGTGTTTAGATTCGGATTCGGAACAAGAGGTGCTTGCATTGGAAGGTGTTGAATCGGATATATCGATGGATTCAGAGATTGATGAAGATGAAAAACTTCTTGATCGACTTAAATCATTCAATGGACGATCTGCTCTTCATTCGATATCAGGCGGAAACAGTGACGATGACGATACCCCAACCACTAAAAAGTCAATCGATGCAGCCAGTGGAAGTTGGGGATCCTCTCGTAGAGCTTATTACGATGGTGACGATGTCAGTGAAGAAGAAGATGCCAAAGAAGAAGAACGAGAAGCACTTCGACTTCAACGTGAACAGATGAAAACACTTGCCAAAGATGATTTTCTTGATAGTTTTGAAAACTTGATTAAAAGAAAACGTTTACAACAAGGCGGAGAAGACACACACCTGGAAAACAAGGCTATAGATGTTACGCAATCCTATTTGGATGATACACATACCGAGCAAATTAAACTAGATGTGTCGAGAATGTCGGAAGGTGAAAAGATGAAACTGGCTAGAAACTCTAATCCAGAAGTCGTGGCTTTGCTAAAGGAATTCAAGACTACTTTAAATGAGCTTGAAAGTGGATCTGCCATGTCTGATGCCACAGGTTCCAACTCGGTCACTCAACGTAAGATTTTATTAAATGGATTCTGTGACTATCTCAAAACCTGAATACTAATTTTATTCATTTTGATAAAAATGTATGATATAGTTGCAAGATACTTGTACTTGACAAATATTGCCTTTTATCTTGCACTTGCAGCCAATTCTAAAACCATGGATTACAAATCGCATCCAGTTACTGAGCAATTGGCTTTACTGCAAGATATTGTTGCAGCAACGGTGCCTGGTCTAAATGGATCCACTAGCAACGAATCTGATACTGAATCCAGTAATGCAGACGTTGAAGTTGAACAAGACGAAAGTGTTGAGGGCCAAAACGAGGAACAAGAAAAGCCAAACTACAAAAAACCACACACATCCTTAAAGGAACGTCTTGTTCCCAACACAGAGGATCAAGACTTTGAGATCCCGGTTGAATCCTATTCCCAGATAGTTGTTCCAAAAATCAAAACCAAACGCAAGCGTCATCTTGATGACAGCATTGATACGCATGAAGATTTTGGTGAGGGTGTGGAGATTGGCGAGGTTGATTTAGCCGACAAAATGAGTCGTAAAAAGTCGCTCAAGTTTATTGTTAACCGTATTGAACAAGTAAGTGATTGTCTGTGTGGTTAAAACCCTATAGTTTAATAGATGATGTTAAGTATGTGTTTGGGTATTTTACAGTCGGTTTCCAGCCTTCAAGAACCCAACCGAAAGAAAAAACTGGGTGGTGATGATGACATTCCTATGCGTGATATCAAGGCAAGTCAGCAAGCAGCACAAGACCGAGCCTTGAGATTGAGTCAAAAAGACTCTGCACCATTTGAAAGTCACTTTGGATTGGATTCCGACGATTCCGACGTGTGTGATAGACCGGACGCGGACGACCAAGAAAAAGAATCTGAAGATGACACACAAATTGATTTGGAAGGCAAACAATTATATGAAGAAATGGCTGCTCAGCAAAAGGATTATCGCGATAAGCGAAACGCATTGTTTGAAGTATCTCATGCCGAGATGGATGGGTACGTGTTTAGTATAATTGTCAATCGTTTGGTACTGAGCTAATTTCTACTCTATTAAATAGTGATGTGGATACACTTGCTGATGGATCCAAACGAGGTGCAACATGGAAGATTCTTTCCAACAAGGGTCTTACTCCACATCGTAAAAAGGAGAACCGCAATCCACGTGTCAAGAAGCGTATGAAGTATGAACAAGCGAAAAAGAAGCTCTCATCAGTGCGTCGTGTTGCTGTTGACAAGAGTAAACTTGGACACTATGCTGGTGAAGCGACTGGTATCAACATCAACCGCAGCAGCAGTATCCGCCTAAACTAAAACATTCCAATATACATCTGCCATCTACTTTTTGAATTTCAAAGTTTTCCAAGTACTGGTTGTGAATGTATATAGTCTTGGGTATGTTTATGGATTGATCATCGGTAATTGTATTCGTTAGTGGTAAATTACTGTCGTCTTGACGTCAAATTCACCAAAATACATAATAAATAGCCAGTCTTATAAAATGATGGGTCAGTTTACTGGGCAGTAGTGTATCCTTTGCCTCTAGTTTATCAGTATTTCTTTTGGTGATTGGCATGGAAACAACTGTTGAATTTCCAAAATTGTCCTCTTGAATTAGAACGTACGAGGTTTAGAATACAAAAGGGTTTGATTGGAACCATTGAAATCCAATCTCGGTCAATTTTTAGTAGGAAAGTCACTACAAGATCAATACAGAAAGTAGTCTACGTGAATAGAGCTGTAACATCAAAGCTAAAAACTAACGGCTTTTGTTACCATGTATTGTTTCAGACCGATATTGATGACATTGGATCCGTATTATCTGATTTTATTATAGCCACGACATCCAATAATGGAATATATAATCACTGCAGACCTTTTCATTGCTGAAATGCCAATCTTATACTATAAAATTAACATGGCAGTGTAGACTATTTCATTTGACAAGGCGGAAAATGTAAGGTTGTGTTTCAAGTAAATGGATTGATTCTCTACGCACTGGAGAGCATTTTTTTGCTGAGATCAGAAATTTCTGACATGACTTCATCATAAGTTTCCTTGAAATCTGCACCAGGTTTAGGAACAATCATGACACAACTAGTGGGTCGTTTTGTTGATCCAGCAGAACCGAGATCTTCTTTGGATGGAACATAAATGTATGGCACATTGGAATCTTCGCAAAGAACAGGGATGTGCGTGATCACGTCAATGGGTGAAATATCTCCTGCAATAACAACAACTCTGAATATCATGTTAAACAAGAGTTGAAGCATTAAAACTCAACAATCATTCAATGCATTTTAATTCAGCTTACCCTTTAATGCCCTTTCTTAGACTCTTTACGACTTCCTTGACACCACGTCTAACGTTCTTGGCCTTGACAGCTATTTACGATTGTGTCATATATCAATGATTGTAATGAATTTTGATTGCAAATAGAACAGTATATTAGATCCAGTATTGTATCCACATCATAATCAATATTCAAAGTTCAGCACAAGCAGATCAAGGTTGAAAATAATTTGGCAAGAAGCAGTTACAAGTGAAACACAACAAATGCCCAATCCATTGTAAACAACACTACAACTTTATAGGATTGTAGTAAACCATTAAACATGTGAATGGCAGTATACCTTTCTTGACAACTTTGAGCACTTTTTTGTTGAGTTTCTTGGATGCCAAAGGATGAGCTATGGCATTAACAGCCTTGAGTCTTGTCTCATAACTAATCTCTTCAACTTCTAAATCCTTGGTCTTTTCAACCGGTTCTTGTTTCTTGTCCTTGGCCATTGTATGTCGTTGTCGATAAAGTTCAACTGAAGGATTTTAAAAAAGAAAAAATCGAATCGAATAAATTTGGTGTTTGAAAAAACCATTTTCGAGCTGCAAACTTTACTTCAGGATTTCAAGGCAATTTGAGACTAAATTGCATTTTGTTTGAAATTTGAATTGAATTGCACAAATCATTCGCTAGTAATTGTACGCTCAAATGGTAATGTTGGCACTCATTCGTGTGCTGTTGTTAGTGTTGACAAGTCCCTTGTTTGCAGGTACGTTTCTGGTTAGACTGTCATGTATTCTGCATGTCATCATTTGAATGGTTGATACTTGACGCGACCTATTCTTTAAACACCTAGTGTTGAAATTGAAAAGCAACTGCTCATCACACATGTATTCCATTTATAGCTGGTGCTACATGTCCTTCACCTACTATTATTGCAATACCAATTGTAGTTGCTCCTCCTTCTTCGACAATGAATGTGCCAGTGATATACACTACTCGTGGAGGTTGTACTCCACCTGGAGCAATAACGTGTTCCTTGGCATCTTCAGGTTTGCCTAGCGTGACTATAGTCGATTCAACAACAGTCTCGGTTGCTGCTTCTGCAGGTGTTTCTACAGGAAGTCTTACGGTTTCATGTACAGAAACAAACGGTGGATCTTCTTCGGTTCAACTCATCATGGCAATAGCAAACCCAACTGTCGTGTCAATGGCAAGCGTGGCTACAAATCAGCTTGCATCAGATGCATCTCCTTTACAAATCACACCAACAATGTTGACTGCTGCATCTATAGGTCCCTACCCAAAACAATTTTTTTGTTACCATATCCTAGATAAAACTGTTGGATCGTGGATTGTATCTAATCCGACTTCAAATTGTGACTTTACACAGCTGGATATTGACAACAAAAATGTCATGTTTTTGCCTACTCCTCTGGGTTCAATTGGTGCTTCAAAAACCATTTCTGTACCGTTTACAGTCGATAATAGACTGGGAAACTCGCTAAGTGCATCAATGAGCTTTGTTGTACAAGCTGCTTTCGCGCCTAGATCCATCACCAGTCCAGCTACACTCGTGGCAAAAACCACCATTCCAATTGTTCTTGGAAGCCGTTATATTAATACTGTAGAGCCGCACAATATCAGTACATGGGATGCTGTATGGAATCTTCCTGCCATTCCAAATATGGGTCAGTGGGAATGGTACTGTCCTGACAACAGTTGCGGTGGTCAAGGTTGGACTCTTTTTCCAAGTTTTCCTGCAAATATAACTCAGGTAAGTTGCCTTTGAATACACGTTGCATTTCATACATATTCATGCTGATGGTTGTATTGAATCTACCCAATAAAAACAATGGTCAGGGTGCGATCGTTATTAATGCGGTAAGATGGAACCCTCTCTCGCTTCCTTCAGGATCATCAACAACGTTCAATATTACTGGAACCATTGGGGGTGTGCTAATGACCCAACAACTGACATTATCTGTGCTGGATAATCCAGATTTTACAACAATTCCTCCAGCACCCTACTCGATCGGATACGGATACTGTGGTGATCACATCACTCTTGGCAAATCGGGAGTGACTCCAAACTTGCAACTGCCATTTGGACCGTATATTGCAAACTCACCGATACGTCCATTGTGTACCTCGCTCAACGTGACGGCTGGTCAGACTACAGCATTAGGTGATTTTTCAATCACATCCAACTGCGCGACATTGGTGAATGCTTCAGGTTGGATAAATCTTGGAAGTGATGTCTTGTTTCCACCTGGGTTTACTCCCATCACTTTCACTGGGTCGATATCCACTGTGGGCACAGTACTTTCTGCTATTCAAATTGTACAAAACGTAGCATGCAAAACAAGTTTACGTACCCCACAACTACAGGGTATGGCTACCAACATGCCTTTTCAATCGCGAGCAGATGTGGGCGTTTTTGCTTACGACAAGCTGACAGGAAACACTGTTTTTATTGGTGCAACAGCTTGGAACGACAATACTGTTAACCCGTTTCGTATCACTACGACACTTCCAGGTAGTGGTATATACATATTTGGTGCGTTGAACAACACGGTAGCCACGACTCTTCCTGGATCTCTTGGAACCGACATGCAGTTTATTTCTACATGGACATCCAAGACATTTTCTTTTGGTGCCTTGAATGTAACAATTACTTCCGCGTATGATTTGACCATCAATGTCAACACAATCCTGTTACTTGCTCGACCCTCTGTGACGATTGACGCTGCGTACATTATCGGAACAACACAAACGAATCCCGTTACTCTAGCATTGACGAGTCGAACTGAAGTTGGATTTGTTTGGGCGTAAGTATTGAATAATTGTCAAGACATTATATGATGATGGGTTGACTGATTTTTGTAATGTGAATAGAGTTTATTCTACTTCGAGTACTGCTGCGGGTGGATCGTGGTTACCCTTATCCACCATCGTAAACCCTGATGGATCCATCAAAGCATATGTATCCGCTTCGGGTATTTATGGTATTGTCAATGCAGGTGCAGTGGCCAGTAGCGCCGTGTCCAACTCCAAAAACATGTATGAATCCACAACACTGATTGCAGCCATTTTTATCGGAGTGTTTGCTTTGTGGTGCAATTGAATCCAAACAGATTCCTTCATTCCCATTTTTTTTAAATACATGCTCGTTTTATAAACAATTTATCTTTGCATGTGTACGAGTCATGAGTAATCACCGAGAAAAAACAACCCGTTGCAGAGTATACTGTTGATCGTTGAACTACGCTACACATGGTTTTTATTTACAACCGTTCAATTCATTTAATATTCTCCATATACGACATCCTTTTAAAATAATACACCAAGGTCGTAAACTGATGCAATAAAAAGCAATTTATTTATGAAAAATCAAACCCAAGTGTTGTATCTTCTGGCCAATTCATTGAAATCCGATCCAATGTTGCTTGATGTATTCCTCCAAACGATATACTTCCAAGTGATATTGCATTGCTATCAACAAGTGGGGGAAGACTAGACAGCTCTGAAAAACGAACTATATTTAAAGAGTTGAGCGTGTCGTCATCAGCTCCGCTTGTAGGTGCGTTGGGTGCGTCAAATGATGGCGGAGAGTCTACTGGAGTAGGCATGACAGACAAGTTTCCAACCGTTGAGTTTGATCCTGTCGTTGCTGAAGCTAAGAAAGCAGAGTGCGACTCGAGCTGTCCAAGTTTCTCAAATGTCATCTAGTTTAAAAATCATAAGATTCCAGTATTGGAAAAAACAAGACATGAATTGTAGTTTGAATGAGTACATTATCAGCCAAATCATTACGATAAACGTATGCATAGACAGTTGAAAATAAGAGCACTACCTCTTGCTGATGACAAAGCTCTTTAATCGCAGAGTTTTGACGATTAGTTAATGCATTGAGTTCGGCTATTAGCTGTTTGCGAATGTCGATTTCTGATGTCAGCATTTCCAAATGCACCTTGACAACCTTTTTAGCATTAGCAATTTCTTTGACAGAAATTTCTAAAAAATCAGACATGGCAAAGTTAATATATCAAATATTTATAAAAATAAGCCATTTAAATACACAGGGGTTCAATAATGGGTGCAGTCTATAGTATCAAGTAAACCTGTAGAAAGCTTACCGTTTTCGGATGGATTAAATACGGATGATTTTAAACCATTCATGCTAGTGATGGACGCAATTTTCAAAGCTTCGCCATTTTTAATTTGCTGAAGCTTACTGGATATACCATGTAACTGAGTTGTTTAAAATAAAGTACATGTCAGCAAACACAAGCACAAATAGATTGGTCTTGTTCTTTTTTAAAAAAATTTAACCAAGGATACTTGCAACGTACTTCTAAAGGCATAGTCGCTTGCTGCTTGTGTAAAGATGATGCACCAGATGTATTAGAGGGCGGTTTCGAGTCTATTTAAAATCAAAAAATAACACCATGACAGGGTTAGATGGGACTTGCTAGAATAGTGTATAATTAGTATCATAGCAATACATACTAGAGATATTGCTATTCTTTAGCAGGAGATTTAAAAACTCGTCAGTGTAGACGGTGCGTTCTCTCCAAACATCTACAACCCGTTTAACTTTTCCCTTGGTTTCTGGATCCAAATGACTAAAGTTTGAATTGGTCAACATGAATCAACACAAAAATAGTATAAGTTGGTGAAATAGGTCATGATAATGCTAGCAGCATAAATCAGGGTTTATACAGATCAGTTGGATACAAACCCCAAATAAATCTATTGCAACGTACCATAGGGTTGTAGCAAATATTGCAGGTATAATTTCGCCAAACTCGTTAGCATAGTCTTCTCCCTTTTTTTTCGAGTTTTGAATGACATCGCTTGCAAGATAGAGAAATCCAAGACGCTTGGATGGATTTGCTAGTTAAAATCAATAACATTTCAGATATTTCAAAAGTTAAGATGGTGTCTAGATGCATGCTGCCAACAACAGTCGATTCAACCGATGCAACTGAAGACACGAGTCATAAAGTTCGGCTCTTCAGGGACATGACAGAATACAGCACAACCGAATAGTACAACAAATTGACTGTCAATAATCCATTGTATGTAAAATTACCTTTTGCCAGTTCTTGGGCCCATATGGCAACACAAGCTTTTGCATGCTTTCGATGGAAAATCATCCCTGTAATTGAAAAATCATCCGATTAATATTGACCATTGCAATTTATTTATGGAGCAGACCATCAAGTAGATGTCAAGGTTGGTCAACACAGATGATGTATCTATGCCAATAAGTTATGCAACACCAGACAAGGTAGTCCCTTAAGCCGAATCCAGTTGAATGGGATGCAAGCGAGCATTTTGAATTATGGTAGTATGATTTGCACAAGTCAATACTGGCTGAAGTGATGGGATTCTGTTTGTTCATATCAGCAGATTAGTTGTACATACATTGGGAAGTAACCTGAATGCTCTGCTGAGTGCTGTTGAGGTGCTGCAGTTTGGTAACAAGAGCAGATTCTTCAAACGACATAATTGTATTTATTTTGGGAAAAGGTTTCTTTATCAACATTTGGCTTGAATGACTTTACAAAACCATGCACTCGGCTAGAGTTTTCTAGTTTCATTTATTTTAGTTGTTAAACTATTGATTTTCAACTCGGCTTTAAAGGATTAAAATGAATAATCGAACTATTAGATTGAATTATAATGCAAAGTCTCGTCTTTCAATATAAAACTCTGGATTACAATTTATAAATCCAAGAATTCATTCTACTTGAACCTACCCAAAATGATTGATTTTATGGAATATGGACTACGCAAATATTACCAAACTATTGGTTGGAATGAAGACAAATACTATACAAATCTTGATGCTGGACCTAATAGTGTGTTATCGTTTGAATTTTAAAAAGTTGATAACATGGTTGATTCTGATGGTCTGCTATATTGTATAGGAATCTTGGTCTTTCCCATTCCAATCGGACTCAACTTTGCTCTTGGAAAGCGGATATCTCCTGTATTCAAGAGTGCTTACTGTATTAGCATTCCAGAAGGTCGTTCAGCTGCATTCATGTATACATCAGTGCCAGTAGATCTGCCTGTGCTACCAGTTCACGAGTATTATTCCACTATTGTACCGTCACCCAAATCGTACTTTCCATTCATGCATAAAACTATCGAAACAGACAAAGGTCAGTACAAGGATTATGATTTCAGCTTGATCAATTCTGTTATTTGAAATCATAAATGTCATCATTTGATTGAATCCATCCTGTTTTCTAATTAAACTTGTTTGAATAATCTAGCAAATAATGAATCGATTAGTACTCCTGTTTCAAACTCAAACTCATACATTTTGTTTGGACGTTTGTTTGAGGATTTGCATTTGGAAGGATTGTATAGTCAACTATTGAGTCCACAGATTCTCTTGACTGCATCTACGCTTAGTGAATTCAAATGGAAAAGCGATTTGGAAAAAGACGATTTTAATGCAAGTCATTGATATGCAGTGGTCGTTATTGTTTTTTGAATCTTACATATTATTTTATCAATGTGATTAATAGATCAATGCCCAGCTTGTGTATAATGGTCCAAAGATTTGTGCGGAACTTAGTGCCAATTCAGACAGCTCTATTATTGGTGGAAACATTCTTGGTCAAATGTCTACAAACTGGGATATGGGGACAGAGGTGTACTATACCGCCAAGGAAAACAGTGGTGGATGCAAGTATTCAAAAGTTTATTGTATTGCGTTTTTAGATACACATGTTAATCTAGTCACATTTATCCATCTAGTTTCGCTTGGAGCGCGATACAAGAAGCAATATCAAGAAGGTGTGGAATCCATACTAACTCTTGTAGCCAATCCTATCATGGGCCATCTAAACTCGGCATATTCTACTACAGTACTCAAGGATATGCAAATGGCTACAAGATACAGCTTCAACATGTATAGTTTTAATGCAGATGTGAGTGTGGGAATAGAATATGCACCGGTTGGGCGAAATCAAGTTCTCAAAGCCCGATTGAGTCTTGAAGAGGTAATGGGTTGATTTTCAACATTTTTGCTTGATGGTCATGTACAGAGTAGACATCACCATTCAAGACATGCGTTGGTGAGAATATTACTAATATAGTTTCTTTATACTGACACATGTGTACAAATGTGATGCATAGGGAGTAGCGTTGAGGTTTGATGGAAGGTTCAAGGATATAATGTACAGTATTGGCATGAGTACGGGTTTTGGGCCGGATTCAAAGCAGTTTTTTGGTGTACAGATTCAATTATGATTCAAGTTTTTATTGGGTTTTCGTGGTAGTACAAGTGAGCATGACGGGACTGCTGTGATATGTAATACAAATGAATGATTTGTGGAATCTAGAGTGTCATAAAACTTTGGTAGGCCACGCGATTCCTACACAATTAGCCTCGGTCTATCAAGTATATTAAAATATAATTCCTTTAAAAAACATGTAGTTGGGGTTTAGACGAATAAGAGTAGGATGCTGGTCAAATTTGAGCATTGTTGGCATGTGGTCCCTAGTATGCATATTTACCGTAAAAAATAAAAGTTGACAGGATTTGGCCAAGTTGAACATTTATAAGCTGCGTTCAATAGCATGTGCCCGCTTTCTCGTGCTCCATATTCTTCCAATCTGCAGCCGTATTCTGGTTTTCCTCGTTAACAACTTGTATTTCCCGACCCAGCACGTTCTATTAGTAAGTAATTGAATAGCGTTTCTTATTTTATTATATTCTTGTATCAATAATTGATGGTGTAATTGGATGCTCAAACGATGCTATGCCAGTCTGGCTATAGCATCGCTTTGTATAATGCCGTGTCGGCTTAATGGGGAAATCACTGAAAAACAGGTTTAATTACTCAGCCTGCTAAAAACATCTAGACTTCCAAGCAGTCTTATCGAGTCTGTTGTCTAGACAGATTCATAAAACTGATGATTTTTTGCCAATTGGCAGTTGGGCTAAGCATTGCAGGAGATTGGCTGTTGCATGTAGAATAGGAGATAATTAAACTGGTCATCAATAAGGCTTGATCGGCAATCTAGAATAGTGAATTGCAAGGTTACCATAATTGATAGCCAGGAGAGTAATGGACTGCAGTTTCATGGCTGGAGAACGGTCGGCATAATGTGCCGTTTGAGGCGTATCCAATCGGAAGGATCCGCCATGTCCATTCATTTGCATATCTAATTCGCATATGCACTGGCTCAGCATGGGTATTTTGATACTATTTTTGGATGACCAATCCAGCCAAAGCATTTGTATATATTATCAAGTCTTTTGATTCAGTGGATTTGCTTTGGACTATCATGTACTACCTGCTTTTCAGTTGCTGTAATACTATCGTTTAATGGAAAAATAGCCTGAAGCACCTGATCAATTCACAAGGGTTCACATTGTGCATTGTAGATGGTGGACATATCAGCTATATGTCAATTCATTCTTGTCAACTACACTTGAGAAATATCCTTTTCTCTAGCCATGTGTTATCCATTGGGGTTGAGCATGCTTTAAAAAAGCTTATATGTATCTGCTATTCTAATTCACTGGCTCAATTTTTTGATCCAAGCTTAATTTCTCACCTGTTCAATCATGATCCTTATCTTGGATGTTTTATTCTGGATGCATGAACCCAATTTTGTTTGTATTTCATATCAACAAGGGGGTGCAGTGTTTCTCAGTTTGTATTGCATGGTTGTTTGCAATCATGATGTAGTGCTGCATCCAACATCTTGGTTCCACTGGTGGCATTCCTCCAATGCAAGTCAGTTGTTTAGTCCGCCTGTGCTGTTGTTGATTCGGATGATTGCTTGGTAAGCTCGTGCGGTTTCCATAAGGACATGATTTAGGACGGATGACGTGTCCAGGATTGGTAAAAGTAAATTATCCATTCAAGTTTAGGAATGCTTGACTAGCTGGCATAGGGTGATCATGTCACGTCCTGGCATCAGTCTAAACTGTATGCTTGACCAAGACATTTTTCAAGCAAGTTGTATGAAACTTGTGGATATGGTCTGGGCATTATACTCGAGTATAATGTCCAATTCTTTTGCTGTTGGCAATAGGATCAGGGTTAGGGTTATTGTAGCATGGGTCATGTATAATTCCCAGTTGTCAAGCTAGCCCATGTAGTGGAGTATTGATGCTTGAGTTCAAAGCGTATACTCTATCATTACATCTAATCCACAAGTACTTGCTTGAGTCAGTGATCAACATTGATCTGGTGGATTATTTAGCGGCAAACAGATAGAGTTTGAAATTGATATTCAAAAGATTGTATCTCCGGACTGAGCCTTTCCGGCAGCACACATGGCTAGAATAGCCAATGCTTGAGCGTCACCCGAGTGGTTTTGACTATCTTGACAAAACAAATGACTTGAATACTGATTGAGCGGATGGACTTGTTTGTACCAAGGACCATTTCAATACAAAGTTTCAATTGATCGTGGCTTCCAATTGTGGAGTTTGTCTTTGATTAGTAGTGGAGGTGGCTAAGATTACCATTCAAACAGTGCTGTTTAGGCAGTCTTGTGTTTAACCTCTGTGCTTGCGGATGTAGTCATGCAGTGCCAGTTAGAATATGGTCAGGGTTTTCACAACAAACCCATTTAAACTCAGCATTTCCTCCCTATCAAGCTTTTTGCTCAGCCATTTTTTCGTTGTATTCTACACCACTTTTGTTCCTTTTGTGGGAATTGCTTTCATTATTGATCAACCCATTTAAGCCACACTTTTTATCAAAGACTACCCGTGCTGCGTATAAATACAAAGGCCTATTTATAACTTGGAAGTTTGAACTCGGATTTTTTTGAAAACCAACCCAAACGACCGCGTACAATTTGTCATACCTTGTTGCAAGTTGATGCTTTTCTTGTCCTTACTGTGGTCCATCTCTGCCATATTGCCATTTCCCAAAGAATAGCATTTATTTCATTATTCCCATACCTTGCCGTAATTTAGCTGCCTTGATTTGAACGTACCAAATCCTCGAACCCCTGCTGATAGCAACCTTTAATCGTTTTTACCTGGGCATTTAGCCGGCCGTACTCTGGATCAGATTCGACACTTCAACGCCAGACTGCTGCAAGCTTGCACACATCTCTACTATCGATCCTACTTTTTGATTAGAAAATTGTATTTTGGGTTTATCATTCGAGTTGATCCATTGAATCGCAAGGATATTTTCCTTTTTCATCTGCATAGCGTCCCTTGTCAAGCTCTTTAAAAGGTAGGCTTTTGCTACGGCATGTGTGTAAACCCTAATCCATTCCTTCCCATTTTTCTGAATACTAGTACTAAAGTCTCTGAAACCCACTTCTGGAATTGGAGTGATGCTTTATTTTCCAATTATCACATTTTGAGCACTATTTTCTACCGTCATTTCTCTAATCTATTCCATCTCCAAGACCCCTTTGCTCTATTTAATTCATTCGTTTACTTGTCTTGTTATTTTGGATATTTTCAAAACCGCTCACAAAACTCGTATAATTACACTATCTTGTTTGCGGCTCAAATAGCAATATCACGCATTTCAGGCTCGTCTTTAGCTTCAAACTACGGTCACTTTCGGCCGAAGCAGTCACAAGCCAAAACCTTTCAATCTTGATAGTTTTATCCCCAGCTCTGTTTTCATAGGGAATACTTAATTGCACCTGAAAACTACGCGGCTGTGTCGGCATCCCTTGGAGATCGTAAACTATCGTCAGTATTGGCCGCATCAAGTTGTAGAATCGTGCTTACTAGTTTCGCAGTAAAATGACTTTATTCAGAAACTCATACAACCATGAGCTGTCCGTTCCACCTAAACCGTCATCAGCGCTTGATCTGCTGAATCACCGCCATCATATCAAGCAGCTTCCATTGGAGTATAATTCACATGAAATGCTTCGACAGTTTCATGCTAATTCTTCTCGGGGCAGCAACACTAGCATGGTGCAATTGCATTCTCCACTAGCACGTGTACCAAATACCTGCCAGCATTTAACAAATGACTCTAAAACCTCTCCTGCTTTTCACTTGGAAAACCGGCCGTTTGTATCTACAGCTCCCCCTTCGTCTTTTCATAGCAGTACATCAAGACCGTTTCATCCTGTATCTATCCAATCTATCACCCACTCATCTGCCGAATGTTCAGACTATACTGATTCATTATCATGGACTGGTCCAAACACTTCTGCCACCAACGCTCTTGCTTCCGACTGCTGTGCAACAATGGAAGAATCAATGACTGATCATACCATGGTAGTCAGTTCACCCATCGAAAACAAGAATAACAAACCATGCTTATTGGATGAACCGTGCTTAGATACCGAGTCCTCTACTATTTGCAATCCGCGGAGTGCATTTGTTCAATCATCCAACTCGGACAATTCAATAGACTCGTCCATTCGATACGAAGCGGTAATTGAACAGGAACCCGTTCGTGCTCGAATGTGCGGATTTTCAAATGGACGTGATCGAAGACTGCTGTAGGTTGCATAATATTATTTGTGATTAATGCTCAGTTTGATGTGTATACTCTAAAACTCTTGCGACGAGTTTGCCTTTTAAATTGCAGATACTGATCACACATGCATTGTTATTTTGCCATTGTGGCGATTCTAGCAGAAATCCACCGCTAATTGTTCAGATATTTACGTATCAAAACAATGTCAGAACAGCCATCGAGTAAGCTATTTTTCTCTTGTGCTTTTAATATTTATTTATTTTTAACTCTGTTTTTTTGCTAGTTTGGACCAGCATCCCTCTCTCATGTGCCATGTATCGCTTTGGTCCGAAGATGGAACTCAGCATTTCAGTGCAGTTAAAAATCCACGAGCAGCTCAGCCCTATCGATTTACAGACGATATGGAAGGACGAAGTGCGCTCATGAACCATTTATCGTTGAGCACTTTGGGTGCTTCTTCATCCCAATTAGAATCAGATCAATACTGTGATATTATTATAGGCACCACCATTGTAAAATCCACAAAGCTACAGGATCTAGATAATAATGGCGGAGTATATTTTGTCTTTCCTGATTTGAGTATTCGTTCACCTGGAAGGTTTACTCTACGATGTAATGTTATGGATCTAAACATGTAAGCCATCAGATATATTTTAAACTATATCCCTATTTTTGAACTATCAAATACGATAGTGCCAGCGGGCATCATAGTTTAGTCATCTCCATTTGCAGCCGTATTCATGCAAAATGGAATACCTTTTCATCAAACAAGCAGTACAGTCAATTTGCAGTGAGAAAATGCAACAAGTATTCAACTATTGTATATTCCAAGGCAATCATTGCAAGATATTCAACTCTATTCAAACACACTGTCCATTGTATAGTACAAACTATAGTTTTGGACTGGGATGTTCCCCGTTTGACATGTCCATACATTGTATAATCACTGGATTTCAATGGTTCCAATCAAACCCTTTTGTATTCTAAACCTTGTACATTCTAGTCCAAGAGGGAAATCTTGGAAATTCAACAGTTGTCTTCATGTCAATCACCAAAAGAAATACTGATAAACTAGAGGTCAAAGGATACACTACTGCCCAGTAAACTGACTCATCATTTTATAAGACTGGCTATTTATTATGTATTTTGGCATTCTTGCTGTTTCATTTTATATGAATATGGCTGTAATTGCCACCAAACGGCCAATCAGTATATCTCAATCTTGATGATGCAGCTTAGCATACCTATTTTTGTGCTGGAGCTAGCCATCTAACTAATGTATTGACTCTAGGTCTACACAAGTGTCTTCTGTTGTAGCCATGGCTACAACTAGTGTTTTTGAAGTCTATTCTTCAAAGAGCTTTCCAGGTGCTCTAGGTAAAGTATTGGATGAATTGATAAATCTATGATCCCTGACGTAACTAGCCAATTATTAACCATTCGTTTGGCTACTTTAGAACCCACATCGCTTAGTCGAGCATTTGCTAGTCAAGGTATCGTTTTGCATTTTAGAAACGATCGATCACGCAATAGAGAATCAGTTTTGACTGCCAAACGAACCAGCAATTCTACTGAGCGTATCTGCAAGCCCAATGTACATCGTCATTCTCCACGATAGTACTATTTTTGGTATGAAAAAGAATGCTGGTCGTATTACTTTGTCTATTACCAATTTTTTCATATAATAAACAAACCAACTAGTCTTACTTCTATTTGAAATTACAGTCGTATTCACGTAATATGAAGCCTTGGAGTTGAGATACATGATAAATAGTCTCATGTTGGATTGGTGCCAATCTTATTGGGCAATATCGTTTTTAAACTCTTAGTTTATTGATCTTTATACTCATTCTTGCACAAAAATACTAAAAGAATGTTCACATCTTTGTTCCAATACATCCTTGACATGTTTTCAACCTCCAACTTTTCTTTTTTTCCAAAACAATATTTCAAGTAAACGTTGAATGACCTGCATGTATAGTTGCATTCCCGAGATTGGTTTGTTCAAGTAGAACGTATCTGATATTAAAAGAGTTTTGATAAAAGGAATCACCAATTTCCAATAACAACGAATATGTAGCGATTGGTTATTCCAGAGCAACATAGAGGTTCCGACTGCAAGATCAATACACAATCATTTCATGTGAATACGATTGTAAAACAGGACAAAATAGAATAGAATTTATGATTTCAAGTTTCGATTTGAAAAGTTGATTCAGCTGCGAATTAACAGTTTTTTATTTATTTCGACAATTACTACAGTCGACAAGTATTGCCTTGAAGAGTATTATACGCTATCCATGTATCAGTTTAAATCACTTATTGATCCGGACTTTATGAGCAAGCCTGCTCCTCCTAATTATATTGCTGGGTTGGGTAGAGGTGCCAATAGTTTTACTACTCGGTCAGATATTGGTCCTGCTAGAGAAAATGCACCGGATGATGGAGCTGCTTTGGCAGCAGCTCAGGCTGCAACTGAAGGTAGAAGAATTCCAGGAAAAAGAGGAGAAGATGATGGTGAAGGTCCATCGGGAGTAGATCCTTCTGAGCAATATCAAGACCCAGACCAAGAGCGAGGTCTATTCAACACTGCACCCTATGAAGCCGACGATGAAGAAGCAGATCATATTTACGAGCAGATTGAGCGCACCATGGACGAGCGACGAAAGGCTCGAAGAGAGGCTCGTGAGCGAGAGGAGTTGGAACGATATCGTCGTGAGCGACCCAAGATTCAACAGCAGTTTGTGGATTTGAAACGAGGGCTGGCTACCATGTCAGAGGATGAATGGGCTGCTATTCCTGAGGTGGGAGATATGGTCAGAAAAAAAGGAGCTTCTGGAAAAAAGTCTGGTCTTGCTGAACGGTACACTGCTGTTCCAGATTCAGTATTGTTGGGTGCTGCAAGTAGATCTCAGCTTGTTCAATCCATTGATGCGAGCGGCAATGGAGCGGCTTCTGTCATGAGCAATTTGGGTGCAGACACTGGACGGACTGATTTTGCTCAATTTGGACAGGCTAGAGATAAGGTGTTGGGACTAAAGCTAGATCAGGTATCTGATTCAGTTTCTGGCCAAACTACGATTGACCCAAAAGGCTATTTGACAGATCTGAGTTCTGTAATTATCAAGTCGGACTCGGAAATTAGTGATATCAAAAAAGCTCGTACTCTGCTGAGATCTGTTACTACCACCAATCCCAAACATGCGCCTGGTTGGATTGCTGCTGCCCGTTTAGAAGAACACGCTGGTAAGCTATCTGCTGCAAGAGATGTCATTTCTCGTGGTTGTGACGAGTGTCCTGTCAATGAGGATGTGTGGCTAGAAGCTGCCCGCCTCAATACCATTGACAATGCCAAGATTATCCTAGCAAATGCTGCTCGTATGATCCCACAATCCGTCAAGATTTGGCTGCGTGCGTGTGATTTGGAAACGGATCCCAAGGCTCAGAAACGTGTTCTTCGTCGTGCACTAGAGTATATTCCTAATTCTGTCAAGATTTGGAAAGCTGCAGTGTCACTTGAAGCTGATCCAGAAGATGCTCGTATTTTGCTTTCTCGTGCTGTAGAATGTGTACCACTTTCAGTAGAACTATGGCTTGCACTAGCACGTTTAGAGTCGTATGAAAACGCACGCAAGGTTCTCAACAAGGCTCGTCAAGCCATTCCTACTTCTCACGAGATTTGGGTTGGTGCTGCCAAGCTTGAAGAGCAAAATGGCAATCTTCGCATGGTAGACAAAGTGATTGAGCGATCAGTGTCAAAGCTCACTGAAGTAGGCACCAATCTAGAGCGTGAGCAATGGCTTACTGAAGCCGAGTCATGTGAACGAGATGGGTTTGTAGGAGTTGCTGAATCGATTGTTCGATGTACCATTGACATTGGCATTGAAGAGGATGACTACAAGCAAACATGGATAGATGATGCAGAAGGATGTATTTCTCGATCAGCCTATGCAACGGCTCGTGCCATTTATACGCATGCACTCAAGGTGTTTCCCAACAAGAAATCTGTATGGCGTCAAGCAGCATTTTTTGAAAAAGCACACGGAACACGAGAGTCTCTTGAAGAGCTTTTGCAACGTGCCGTTCGATATTGTCCACAGGCAGAAGTACTGTGGCTTATGGGTGCCAAAGAGAAATGGTTGTCAGGAGATATTGAAGCAGCTAAATCTATCTTGTCCAATGCATTTGCAGCCAATCCCAATTCTGAGCAGATATGGCTTGCTGCAATCAAGCTGGAAGTAGAAACCGGAGAATACCATCGTGCACGAGTATTGTTGGCAAGTGCTCGTGAGAGAGCAGATACTGAGCGTGTGTGGATGAAGTCGGCTGTTTTGGAACGACAACAAGGTAGATTTCAAGATGCAATTGAATTATTGAACCAAGGAATTCAAAAGTTTCCGTTGTTTAGCAAGTTGTGGGTCATCAAGGGTCAGATTTTAGACGAGGATCTTGAAGACATTGAAAATGCTCGAGACAACTACGCACAGGCTTTGAAGCGGATTCCTAAATCAGTAGTGTTGTGGTTACTGGCATCTCGTCTTGAGGAAAAGGCAGGATTACCCATCAAGGCAAGAGCAACATTAGAAAAGGCTCGAATTATGAATGCCAAAGTGCCCGAGTTTTGGTGCGAGGCGATCCGAGTAGAAGTGCGAGCAGGCAATGCACCAATGGCTAAAGCGCTATTAGCCAAATCTCTTCAAGATTGCCCCACATCAGGATTACTATGGTCAGAAGCGATCTTGATGGAAGCTAGACCTCAGCGTAAGGCAAGATCAGCGGATGCATTGAAGAAGTGTGAAAATGATCCAATGGTCGTGGCAACGATTGCGCGACTGTTTTGGGCTGAGAGAAAGCTAGACAAGGCGAGAAACTGGTTTAACCGCGCGGTCAAGACCAATCCGGATCTTGGTGATTCATGGGGATGGTGGTATAAGTTTGAGCTAACGCATGGAACAGCAGAGCAGCAGTTGGAAGTGATGAATAGGTGTGTTTTGGCAGAGCCTCGCCATGGTACAATTTGGCAACAGGAGTCCAAACGTATGCAGAATGTAGGAAAAAAGACGGATGAGATTTTGAAGTTGGTTGCAGCAGAGATGAGCAACAGTAATCTTTAACTATAAAACAATAATTCTATAAAGCAATTGATTTTATAAAAACATAATTTATGAAATTTGGAATCTGATTTCAACCTCGAGATTGGAACAATTTAACATGGATAGTCAAGACTGGCCCGAGTAAGAGCATTGCCAGTGTTTCTATTTTAGTTTAAATTGCTAATCCAACTCTGACTAGACGGTGGAAAGGCATCTACACTTATTTGGAACGGCCACTAGACAGCAATGCAAATGTGTCTGACATTCAAGTACGAGTTCATCCTTGCAAGCAAGACTATAGCAAACTATTGACGATCATTTATTTTTATAGGTCAAGAAGTTTTTGCATAGTTGCAAGATTCTGGTTATTGGTGCTGGAGGTCTTGGCTGCGAATTACTCAAGAATCTGGCATTGTCAGGATTCAAAGATATTCATGTCATTGATATGGACACTATCGACGTATCTAATCTCAACCGTCAATTCTTGTTTAGGTAATCAGTCATAGATGTACAATTGGATTACTATTGGACTTGATATTGAACTTGTTTTAGACAAAAGGATGTTGGTCAACCTAAAGCCACCACTGCTGCCAAAGTCATTATGGACAGAATCCCTGGAGTTCAAGTCACTCCGTAAGTCGTCGTTATCTTGTCAAATATACAATGCATTGAATCTAACATTTTGTATTTAGTTATTTTGGCAAGATCCAGGACAAGGATGAACAGTACTATTCGCAATTCAACATTATTGTTTGTGGTTTGGACTCGGTCGAAGCTCGTCGATGGATGAATGCTACAATTGTAGGCATGTTTGATGAAGACGATCCTACAACACTCAAACCCATTATCGATGGCGGCACGGAAGGTAGAAAATCTTGCACATTTCATTGGATTTACTATTAAACTAAGCAAGATCTTGTCATTCTGTGCATGCTGGTTAGGATTCAAGGGCCAAAGCAGAGTGATTCTTCCTCGTATATCTGCATGCTATGAATGCTCTTTAGATATGCAGACCAAACCAGTTACTTTTCCAATGTGTACTATTTCAAACACTCCCAGACTTCCCGAACATTGCATCGAATACGCTTCGACTGTTGCTTGGCCAAAACAGTTTCCAGGTGAATATTTTAAACTTACGACCCAGATCGTCAACTCTATTTGTGCTCATTTATTTTCTGTAACAGATACAAAAGTTGACGGAGATGATCCTACTCATATTCAATGGCTGCTCAATACTGCCCTCGAGCGTGGTCGCGAATTCAATATCACTGGCATCACTTATACTCTGACTCAAGGTGTTGTCAAGAACATTATTCCAGCAATTGCATCTACCAATGCCATAGTTGCAGGTATGGTTTACATTGTACCAAAAGTTGTATCATTGTTTTAAACATGTTTCATTGAAATCAACTGGATAGCCTCGTGTGCCAATGAAGCATTCAAGATTGCTACAAATTGTGCAGCCTACATGAACAATTACATGATGTACGTTGGTGATCATGGCGTCTATGCATATACCTTTGAACTTCAGCGTAAAGAAGATTGTCCAGTGTGCGGATCTGCTCAGTTAAAGTTGACTATTTCGGGAGACAAAACACTGGATGATTTGATAGAGGTTTTGCTTGATACACAGGAAATGTAAGTAACAATCATTTCATTGCCGATATTAGATTTCTTTGATGTTTACGGACATACTTTGAATGATTCAGTCAACTCAAGGCACCATCATTGCGCACCAATTCAAAGTCGCTATTTATGCAAGCACCCAAGATGCTACGTGAAGCTACTCTACACAACCTGAAAAAACCAATCAAGGACTTGGTAGCTTCTGGTGAAGCCATTACTGTTACCGATGCACATCTTCCCATTAGTATGGAACTTACTCTTGAATTTAAATAGTACGTTAATGTATCTTGACAGTAAAACCACTTGCATGATCAAGCGCTACCAACAGAATATTTCGAAATAAAACTGAATATATGATGAACTCGAATGAATCGAGGCAATGAGCCGATATACAGATTTGCTGACAAGAAACTGGAATGAGAATTTTGTGAGCAACAGTGAATTGCAGATATAAAATTTAGTCAGAAAAACAGATTTTTTGATTAGCAAATCAACAATGTTTGGTTATAGAGCATTATTGCGACTACCAGCTGCTGGAAGTTTGGCATCTTCTCCGTTACATGGATCTTTGATTGGATTGGCTAGTACAGCTCCTGCTGCAAAAAGTCCCTTTTTATCACAACCCACTTTGTCATTGGCTGCTGTTCCAACTCCATCCACTTCAACCCATCAGTCTTCATTCTTGCTACAGGCCATGAGAGGTTCAAAGTATCCGAGTTATGGGGGAAAGAGACTGAGAGGTTATATTCTGCCAAAACAGTCTGAAAAGACTGCAATTCTTAAGAAAATGCTCAAGGTAAACAATAAACCTTGTAGGCATTCAGTCGTCTGCTGTAACTGATCATGTTTATTTTTTAGATGAAATGGTTTAGAATCAGAAAAGGAAGTACCGGGCAGCGTCCTAAAAAGCCATTGTATGGCCGTGATGATTTTATTCTTGGAAAAATGAATGTCTGATTATATCAAGATTCTTGGTCGTTCAAGCTTTTCATTAAACTTGTCAGATTGCCATTCATGAATATACTCGTTGACAAAATGACTCGTTTATTTTACTACTACTTGGAAGAACATGGATCAGACATGAATGATTTATATGCTGAAACTACCTTTTTTAATTTAGCTTCAATCTGCTTTCGGGCTTCTTCACACTGCTGCATATCTAATCGTAACTTTTGAACTTCCCTTTCTTTAAACTCGTTTTGTTTTTGCAAATCATGAATCTCTCCTGTTTGTTCTTGACTCTTGTGACTTACGGCATCTGATACCGATATCTGTGCCTGTAATTGTGCTTCTTTGGCATCTATGTGCTGCTGCAATTCTACAAGTTTTTGTTGCAGTAAGCTTGCATGTGTTGTTGCTGCTGTGTTTAGACTACTCACATGTGCAAACAATGATGCAAACGGATAGGGGTGTCCAGCGTTAGGATCATCCATTGCATAGTCGACATTTAAATTGCGAGTGAATATTAAAATACTATTGAATTGTTTCTCATAATCTGCCAAGACTCGATCCAATTGACCACAGTCGTCTATACTTTTAGCCAAATCTCCTTTTAAAGACTTTATCTTGTCAAGCCAACAAGACTCTCTAGATTGAGCCTTGAGCTTTTTAGATCGAATGCGTTCCTTGAGTGTCTTGTTTTCATTGTCGAGTGTTTGCGATTTCAAAATTACATCTAGACACACATTTAAATAGTCTTGGGAATTAGAAATCTGCTAATCAACTTGCTATATAAATACTTTGAGTTGACCAAATGTGTTGGTATGCTCAAATCACTAGAAAAAGTATATTAACAAGTGATGCTAAATGTGTTACCTTCGATTGCTTGACCAAGACTTGTCAATTGCTGCGAAGTGGTTTCGTTATCGCGAACAAGTTTGAAAAGTGTTTCCGCTTCAAATCCATGTGATCCATTACCATCAGTGAATGCTTTGACCAACAGAGAATTCATGTCGGGTTGTTCATGGATAGACGATACATTCAATTTTGAATGTTCTTTGGTCATGGATGTAATATGGTTTTCAAGCACACGTCCGAGGTGTACTGGATCTTGTGTTGGCTGCTCATCTGCGCTGCAGCGATTACATCCATTTTTACCATTTTGAAATGACCTTGACATACTTAGACTTGTCTGTATATCCTTTTTTTCTTTTTTCAATACTTTGACCAGTTCTACAAGCTTTTTGGTTCTGAGCTTCTCATTTTCAATAGCATCTTCGAAATCGACGATACGTTTGGACAACTCGCAATTCTCTGCATTTTTAGAGTGGACCATTGCTTCGCTTTTTTGAAATAATTGTTGTAAAGTGCTGTTTTCGCTTTGCCATTCAGTAATAGTTTTTTCAAGATACTCGATGTGTGTTTGCAAATTACATTTTAATTCATGTATTTGTACCGAGTCGTTGTGATGACTAGTGTTTTCCGTCGATGCCTTTGTATCGTTTACATTAACCAGCACTGGGACTTGGACAGGAAAAGAGGATGGAATGGTACTCATCACTGCTTCTCTTACTCTTATATCAGTTTCCATTTCGGCTTGATCTTTCATCAATGCATGTTTTTCTTGCCGAAGTTCTGTATTCGATGCAACAAGTGATTTCATGCTACTGTTTAAATCTACAACAGACATTTGTAGTGCATCACGTTCTTTAAGTGCATTTTGAAGTTGGTGCTTTAAAGTATCCATTTCGTGTTGCATGGAAACTGATTCAGTTTTGAATCGGGTTGTCATGTCATGGATTGTACGTTCAGTTATCAACCGCACCTGACTACTCTCCCCACGTATTCGCTCAATTCGCCCATCAATCATGAGCGACTCGTCAAATACAAAGCAAATACTTTTTGCCATGGTCCACACGGTTTCAACCACTTGGGCAATCAAAAGGTATACCACATGAACATTTGGAATTGTTGAAATGGATTCAACCATTTGTTGAAATGTGTGAAATGATGTCGAGATGGTATCAAGCTGTCGAAGTAGTTCAATCCCACCAGTTTGACCTGCTACGTCTGCAGATCGATATGCTACAGTTGTAGTAGATGTCCACTTTATGCGCTCATCAATAAGTTGCATCATGCTTATTTTTGCTGAAACAGAGCTTGATGTGCTTTGCTGCGAAACTACTGTCGGTTGTATTGAAACTGGAACTGATGGGGATGTAGTATCAGGTGCTGGAGTAAACGTGGATGTTAAAGGTACGGTAATCGGCAACACCTCAGATTGAACTCTACGCGTTGGACTAGATTCGCAGTTTTTCTGTGCAGCATCCAAATTCTTGGCAAGTTTACTAATCTGATCGTTTAGTGCGTTTTCCCGTTCAATAGCACGTTGACTTTCCTTTCTCAGCATTTCATTTTGTTCTGAAAGCGATTTCATTTCGAGCGCTTGTCTAGATACTCTCATTTGAAGCTCATGATTGTGAGCATGCATAGAATCACATTTTGATGACAATATGGTGGATTGATGGATGGCATCTTGTCGTTGTGATTTTACTGTAATGAGTTGACTTTCAAGTTGGGCAATACGAAACTGGAGATCTTTGACTTCTTTGTGACGAGGAGGAAATTGCATGTCCTGCCATGGTACCATTTCAGAAACATGCTTGGTTTGACTTGCAAGTGATACAGGCTGATTGATAGGTAGGGGTTGAGTCTGCGTATCCATGGTGGATTGTGATGAGTGATGAGTACCAGATTCATTTGTTTTTTGTGATGCGTCAATCAAGTTGCGTAATTCTCGATTTTCATTCAAAAGTTCAATCATCTTTGCAGCAGAACAAACCGACTCTTCTAATAAATTAGACTTGGGTTCTGAAATGTGTTCAGTAGTTTCCTGGGTTACTTTTTGAATTGGTTCGGATGATTCCAATGCAAGTTTTTCGTTTCCATTAGATGAGAAAATGGAAATGATATTTTCACCTCTATGCGTAGCTGTGTGATGAACAGGCGGTTTGAGTAATTTAGATGCTTCTGATTTGTCAGATACTACGTTTTGTGGTTCGGCATGCGACTGGTTTAAAACATTGTTTTTGATGGACTCGGCAGGAGCAACAGTTGTTGGAGTATCAGCTTTTATGCTTGTGACTGTCTCAAAAACGGGGTGATTGGATACAGATGGCATGGGTGAAACTGAGGACAGTGTTTCGTGTGACTGAATGAATACAGGCGCTAAATCTACTGGTTTGGATACAACAGAATCTTTTGAAGTTGATGTTGTATGAACAAGCGTATATGCAGCAGGCAACCGTGTATTTGGACCAACATCCCTCGATGGAGTCAACTTTGCAGTCTGTGCAAGTATACTACTTTCGAGTGACTTTAATGTTTCTGATATAACAGATGCTGCCTGTACCAACTTTTGCGTTTTTTTAGACAAAGTGCAAACACCACTACTTGGCTTTTCACTGTCAAAATGTACTTGTTCAGCCATAGCTGGATGTGATGTACTAGATAGCTCACAAAAGTATGTATAAAGCAACAATCCGTATACTATGGTACGTTTTTATTCAACTGGTTACAATAAGATGCATTTGATTCACCAGATTTGGAGCGGAGTTTGTCAAATCTGCAACACGTTACAGCCGTATTCACGTAATATAAAGCCTTGGAGTTGAAATACATGATAAATAGTCTCATGTTGGATTGGTGCCAATCTTATTGGGCAATATTGTTTTTAAACTTTTAGTTTATTGATCTTTATACTCATTCTTGCACAAAAATACTAAAAGAATGTTCACATCTTTGTTCCAATACATCCTTGACATGTTTTCAACCTCCAACTTTTCTTTTTTTCCAAAACAATATTTCAAGTAAACGTTGAATGACCTGCATGTATAGTTGCATTCCCGAGATTGGTTTGTTCAAGTAGAACGTATCTGATATTAAAAGAGTTTTGATAAAATGAATCACCAATTTCCAATAACAACGAATATGTAACGATTGTTTATTCCAGAGCAACATAGAGGTTCCGACTGCAAGATCAATACACAATCATTTCATGTGAATACGACTGAAAACAC